GTCGCGCCGTTTCGAGGGTATTTTTAGGCACGATGGACGACGAGGTCGACGACGACGCTGTCGGCGAGCTCATGCCACCGCTGCCGCCGAGCGTACGTAGCCCGACCTACGAGACGAGGGCGTGAGGCGCTTCTCTCCTAGGCCAAGCACCGGCGCGTCTGGTCCGTCGGCGTCGACTCGGCCACGGAGCTTGAGAAGATCCAGAAGGCCCACGAGGTGACCGACTGCGGGACGTGCGCCATGCGTCATGGGCGATTAGATGAGCTCGCTGCAGACTGAGCTGGCCAAGCAGAGCAAGGCGCTCGAAGAGTCGCAAGAAGAGACGCAACTCGCGGCCCGCATCGGCCAGACGCTCTTGGCGCAGAACCAGCAGCTCGACTACGAGCTCAAGGCCACCTTGTCCCAGGTATAATTCTCAAATGCATGCTACGTCCGATCATCAACGACGCCGTAGGCGACGGCGCGCGCCGACGGCGCCGAGCGCCATGCACGCGTGCGTGCTTCCTCCTGCGCGATGCTGCCATAGCACGACCATGTAGGTTCTCGAGGCCAGGCTCGCCGAGGCAACGACGAGCTGCAGAGCCGCCGAGAGCCAATGCGTACGAAGTGCGGTCGAGATCGAGCATCTCCATGGAGTACAGATGACGCTCGAGTACGCCATCGCATCGATAGACTGGACGGGTCATTGACGGTGGCAGGTCGACGATCAAGCAGCTCACGCACGACTCGAGCCTATATAAGAACGAGCGCCAGCTACTGATACACGCCAAGACTCATCTTCTCGAAGAGGTACTACGGACTGCCATGTTCTGTACAGCTCATGGCGAGGGTAGCTCCAAGCACTGCAGGCCGACCGCGACACGCTTCGAACAACGAACGGTCGACTCAGTCGAGAGCTTGAGGCGCTTCGGGTCGACCTGGCCGATGTAGTCAGCGACCATCTCGACGCTTCTAAAGCTACCATGACACGTGATATAGCGGCGGGACGCTGCAGATGCGAGCGAGCGCCGTGTCCTCGAGTTGAAGACCAAGCTCGTCGGCTACGACCAAGTCGTCGCCCGCTTTGAGGCTTTGCAGGCGCATGTACTGACGACGGACGCTGAGCTCGCGACATTGGTACGTCGAATACCTTCTGGTACACGTATACTCAGTCTATGGGCGTATAGCACGAGCACTGTCGGGCCCTCGAGGACGCCAAAGAAGCGTCCGAGCTCTTGGTGCGACTTTGTTGTTTTGATATGACAGTGTACATTATCGTCTGTAGGTAGCTGCACTAACCACCGAGCTGCACACCGCCACCGAACAGCTGCAGCAAGAACGGGTTATAACTGAAGAGATGCGCGTAGGCCATTTGTCACGTAGTGGTGGTGCTCCACGTTATACTAGGAGACGAGCCGGAGTTATATGAGCCGTCGCTCGAGTGACGCTAGCGCATCGGATGGTCTCGATGTCGCAAGTCTCAAGCAAGGCTCGCTCTTCCACGAGCTCTCGCTCGTACTCGAGCGGGACCGCGCAGATGCAACACAGCCGCTTCTCGACCGCGTGGGCTCACTGGCGCGGATACCAGCGACGACTGATCTCAGACTAGATTCTGGCACTGGAGACCGAAGTGGCCTCATACAGAGAGGTGGCTCTTCTCAGAGCCATCAACAAGTAGCGCTACTGTGGAGTAGGGCTCCACCCACGAGACGGTCTCATCACATGTACATGAAGTCCGCGCGCTACGGGAGGCACAGTACGCGACCGAGACGGAGCTGCTTCAGGTACTGGTACCGCTAGACATACAAAATACGACCTGGTATGTCGTGGTGGCTAGGTGCAGAAGGATCTCGGTCGCACTCAAGAGGCTTCCAAGGTTCTACTGGGTCATTCATGAGCAAGAAAGGATGCTTGCGTGTAGTTATGGGAGGCCAAGTACTTGGCCAAATGCGCAGAAGCCGACGAATTCCGAGTCGACCTCAAAGGGCACATGCATGCGTACGAGGTTGAGCTCGACCAGCTCGTGTAGGCTACCGGTACACAGCGTCGCCATGTGATCCGTATATGGACGTAGGAAGCAGCGAAGTTCGATGCAGGACGAACTCCTCAAGGCGCGACAGCTCTACACCGAGGCCGCTGCCGAGTGGCATGCCCAAGTACACTATGGAGATATCTACTTCCAATGCGTCATGTCTTGTGGCTAGAGAACGCTGCTCGAAGCGCAGGTAGAGCAGCTTCAAGAGACGCTCCGAGCAGCACAGAGCGAGGTGCATCATCTCAAGCTGGACGAGCGCCACGTACCTTCCTCTTCCGTCTACGCTCAAGACACGGCAGCGATAGCGTAGGCGATGGCTGCGCTCGAGGTGAGCACGCAGCAACTCTGCGAGATGGAGCGCGCGCTTCGGTTGGCCAAAGACCGCGACGAGGCGCTGATCAAAAGCGTGAACCTCTTTCAAAGCAACTGCGATGCGCAAGCAAGTCGACTTGTCGCGCTTGTACCGCTTCGAGACTGCATGCAGTAGCTCTGATATGTCGTCGTAGGAAGATGCGGTGCGCGATGCAGCTGAGGCGCGAGCTATGCACGAGCAGCAGGTACGCATGTCATTGTGGTTTATATGTATTCCCCTCTCTAAATGTAGTTGGCTGCTCTCTCGAGCGAGCTGGACCAGACACTCGAGCTCTGGCGCGACGAAAAGACCACAAATCACGAACTTCGCCAGCGTATCGAGGTTGAGTTCATATCTTGTCCTCTGGCATTCGAGGCATTGGCTGTAGGAGCTCCACGAGATGATGGAGGTGGCGTCACAGCCGTCACCCTACCGGTCACGGCAGTCGAGCATCGAGCAGCGCCGAAGTTTTCTCAAGCGCGGGTCGCTCTTCCATGAGCTCGCGCAGCAGATAGAGCGAGAGGTCACGCAAGCGCAGCGGACGATCCGCGAAGACGACGAGACGACGCCGCCGTCCGTCGATGTCGGTGACGTCATGACGGTCATGGACTGAGCGCTTGCGACTGCGTAGGTCGCGTCGCTTCGGTCGCAGCTCGATGAGCTGCAGACACAGTTTCGTCGAGAACAGGCGCTCGTATGCCAACTGCAGACAGAACTCGATACGGAGACGCTCGTAAGTCTCTCGTTGCCCATGGCACCTCAAATCGTTCTTGTATCGTGTAGGCTCCGCCAACTGTGCGACCGCCGTGGTTCTGGGAGGCCTTGTATAACGGGCGCGTTTGCGAGCTGCTGGGCAACGAGATCGTTGCAGCACCCCACGAGTAAGAAGACACTGTGTAACTAGATAGACTGCTATCTTCATGCCCCACATATATGTTGACCTGGGACTTCGGTTCCATGGTTCTCCATGATGTGGCCCGAGCCTAAGGAATGTCAACGGAACCCTATTCCCGGTCGTGACCAAACTTCTCGAGACCGCATACTTGTTACGTAGCGAAATCATCGCTAATTGTACCAAAACCTAGTCCCGAGGAAAGCGTGGGCGATCTTCCACCAATGTATAAAGCGCCAATGAGGCTGCCAAGGACGCGCCATTTCAGCGGCTGAGAAGAGAGATTTGTTCAACAAGTAAATTTGGGTATCTTCGCTTTAACCTCAGCTGGTGTCCTAGCGCCAAACGTGCTGCAGCAGCGGATGCGACGCCAGAGCCACGGAGGTATTGAAGCCTTGTGGATCTCGGACGTCAGAGCCAAGACCCAGCGCATCGAGTTGGACGGCCGCCGGCTCTTGGCTCTGGCGTCCGAGATCCACAAGGCTTCAAGACCTCCGTGGCTCTGGCGTCGCATCCGCTGCTGCAGCACGTTTGGCGCTAGTGCGGACGGCAGCTCCGATCGCAGGCGGCAGATTGCGCAGCTGGATAATCTTTTTAGCGGGGACACATTGGCCATGAGACAAAGATCTTATCGCGATAAACCCGATGCGGAGACAGTACCAAGACGAGTCTCAAGGACAGAAGCGACTCTCGACTATCGCAGTTTAGGCAGTGCATGAAGAGTGTGGGTAGAATTAGACTCGTGCCCTTTACACGGTATACGACAGCTAGGCGAGTTGACCCGGCAGACTCGATCGGCCAGTGGACGACGACGACTTGCTGCGCTGGAGCGTGAGCACAAGCGGTTTCGGGCTCGACTTGAGTACGTGCATCGCGTGTTGGAAGCCCATGGAGCTAATGTCCTGCTGGTTGATCGCGATGAGCATGTCACCGGCCGCAACGCGTCCTCGCTGGCGCGCAGCGTACGCCGCGCCTTCGTCCTTGACCTTGATGACCTCAATGTAGTAGTTGAGCAGCGGTGTGACGACCAGACCGAGCGGTCCGTCCTCGTCCGTCCACGTAATGTTGTACGCGGCTTCATTCGGCGTTTGCTTGTGCAAGTTGAGCGCTATCACACTGGACCGCCGGCCGGACGACGCGATCGAAGACGACGACGACGCAACCGAGACGCGCGACTCGGTGACGGCGTCGTCGTCCGGCATGCGGAACCGAAGGACACACGGCTTGGGCTGCTCGGAGAGGAGCGCGTTGATCTCCTTCTGGGACTTCATATACGTCGAGATCTCGTTGACGTGCGAGAGGAGGTCGCCCTTGCAGACCATGAGCGGTTCGTTGGGCATGTGTGGCGACAGAACTGTGCTCACGTACGGGAAATGGCGCTGACGGTGGAGTTTGAAGTGGAGATTCAGCGGCTCGTTGTAGCCCCAAAGCACTTCGTACTCGTTGGCTTCCAGTTCATGCGCGGGCGTGTGGCCGCGGCGCTGAAACACAAGCGTCACGGGCTTGGCGATCTCGTTCATGTAAGCGAGCGTTTGGTGCAACGAAGCGTGGGCCACGATGCGCTTGGTGCCGACGGACACGAGGACGTCTTCGACGGCGACGAGCGAGATGGTGTTGCAGCCACTCAAGTTGGCATGAATGCGCTGGACGACCGGCAGCCCCGAGTCGTGATCCCGGCCGAAATAGAGACCAAGCATCCCGGACCCCCACGTAATCTCGTACTTGTTCACGAGGGACACGGCCACTTCCGAGTCGGTCTCGGACGCGTCGTCATCGTCACCAATGACTTCGGGGTAAAAGGCCTTGGGCGGCGGTGCGTGCACAGGCGACGCAAACGGCCGCACAAGCGGTCGCGCGGGCGAGTTGACGGGCGAGTTGAGCGCGCGGTAGGCGTCGTCCGCGATGGCCTTGGCTTGGGCCGCGACACGCTCGGCTTCGACCGCCGCGGCCGCGTGTCGTCGGGCAGCCTCGGCCGCCGCCGCAGCTTTGGCGGCAGCGTCTGCTTTGGCCTTGGCTGCTACAATTGCTTGAGCTTTGGCAACGCGCAGCTGTCGCAGCTTTCGCTGCGCGCGGTGGCGGCGGTAGCAGCTCTGCAGGACGACGGCGGCCGCACTTCGTTGTCGACGAAAGCACCAGAGACGCACGGCCGACTGGATGGTGCGCCCCGACGCCTGCTGGCGACGATACCGGGTGCGCGCGAGGATCATGCGTGCAAAGGCCTGGAGCGTCACGGCGCTGGTGTGGAGTGCGCGGACGCGTTCGCGCTGAAGCACATCGAACGCCGCTTGCACGACAAAGACCTTGGAGGAACCGATCTGGAACGGCGGCTTGTCGGTGGGCAGCGCAAACTTGGCGACGAGCGTGTTGACCATGGCGTGGATGCTGCGCTGTCCCGGCGCAAGGGACCGAAACTCGGTCTGAAAAGCGTCGTGCGGAAACCGCACGGGGTAACCAAGGCGGGAGATCTTGACGGCCTCGAGGACACCAGAGCACTGCAGCTGCTCGGCCACCCGAGGTGCATCCATCGTTGACGGCTGCAGTACATCGTTGGGCTTGATGCACCGAACAAAGTGAGGGGACGTGGCGTTGAGAACGCCGAGGAGGTCGGTGAGCTGCTGCTTGAACTTCATCGCGACGGTAGCGCCCATGATGCCGGACGACCGGCGCGGCTTGTCGTCGCCGTCGTTGTTGAGGCGGGACGGCGGGAGCATGCTCAGCACTTGGTAGCTCTCAAAGAGCGAGGCGACATACGCGTTGGTCGAGGCGCTCAGCATCGCAATGGCTTCGTCGTGCACGTGGTCCTTGTTCTTGTCGCAAAAGCCGTCCGTGACGTACGCGACGGTGCCGGCGTAGTGCAGCACGGAGAACTGGCTGCTGCCCTGCTGGAGCTTGGACGCTGCAAAGCGCGGGTGCTTGCCGAGCAGGTCGTAGAGCGACTTGGCGAAGGGGCCGTCGCCGCCTCTGGGCAGCATGCACTGCTCGTCGAGCAGCCGGAAGAGACCGCGCTTGGCCTCAAAAAGCATCACCACCAAGTCGTTGTTGGGGTACTCGACGAACGTCCACGGGATGCCTTGGCTCGCATACTCCTCCTGCTCCATCGCAAAGACGTACGTAGAGAAGAGCTGCTGGAGCTTCTCGTTGGCGTAGTTGATGCAGAGCTGCTCGAGCGAGTTGGTTGGGAAGATCTCAAAGCCAAAGATGTCGACAATGCCGATGAACGAGTGCGAGTGGTCGACGGGCCGCGACGTGTCTTCGTACGCCATGCTCTCGTTGATGCGGTCGACGACCCACTCAAAGAGCTGGCCGTACAGTGCCTTTGCGACCACATCTTTGGCGCCCAGCGCCTGGCTTGGCTCGAGGTGCACGGTGATGGTCTCGCCGCCGGCGCGGATCGTACGCGTGCACAGACCGGCTTGGAGCCGCTCGACGCTGATGCCGAGGAGGCCGCAGAGCACGTCCATGTTGACGCTGTGTCCAAACGTGTCGCCACCACCGGCCGTCTTGACAAACTCGAGGTTGCCGAGATTCAAAATCGCTGCAACCACCTGCAGCACGCTCCACTGCTCGTCAGCTGGCATGCCGATCGTCGTCATCGCATGGCGCGTCTTGGCGAACTGCTCGCTGTCGTCGACGCCGTCGCGACGGTCGTAGCACTGGCTGCTGTTGAGGTACTTGTAGTCCTCGACATGCGTCAGACCCAGCGCATGGAGCTCGTCGGACGACGCGCCACGTAAGAGCTCGTAAAAGATGTGGTAGTTGCGCTCGCCAATCGACTGCGAGACGAGCCGGACGCGTTCGAGGAGGTATGTCGAGATGGACGCGCCGAGGAGCGACCCGCTGCGGTCGAAGCCGAGGCGAATGAACTTGCCAAACCGGGACGAGTTGTTGTTGCGGTTGGTCCGGGCGTTGCCAAAGGCCTCGAGGATCGGGTTGGACTCGAGCACGCGGTTGCGCACGTTCTCTCGCTCGACCACATTGTCGCTGTGTGTCGTGGCTGACGAGACCGACGCGAGGTAGTTCATGATGATCTTGGTGGTCTCGGTCTTGCCCGCGCCCGACTCGCCGCTCACGAGGATGCTCTGGTTCGCCGCTTGGCGCAACACGTCGCGAAAGGCCTTGTCGGCGACCGCGTAGACGTGCGGCGGCAGCTTCTCACGCTTCTCACCGGCCATGACGCGGTCGCCGTGCTCAATGTACGCTGACTTCAAGCCAGCACTATAGAGCGCAGGCAGCGCCTCGAACGGGTTGATGGCCACGAGGATCGAGCCCGTGCTCGTGTAGATGGCCTTCTTCCGGAAGCGCGCCGCGAGCGCCGCAAGGATCGAAGCCTCGTCCAGGTGCACGAGCGCCGTGAGGTCGGCGACGTCCTCGGTCATCGTGCAAATGATGCGATCGAACTTCGAAGCTACAACCCAGTGCAATGTCAAGTTTGAAGGCCAAGTATCCTGTATACAAACACCAAGTTCAAATAACAACGATGCTGATTGGCCCAAATTGCTGATTGTAGCAACAACTATCTAGTCGATCACAGCGACTAAGCTCTAGTCGGTCACATCGACTAACGGCTAGTCGATGACATCGACTAAGTCATCAAGAGGACTCAATATGGGCAGTGACGACCGACGCGTTGATCATCGCTACAAATTAAACACCCGAGCATACACCGACAAGAGCACATTGATTGCTGATTCTACTAAAAACTAAATACTGGCGGGCACGCCGACGTGGGACGCGCGGCCTTGCTTCTGGAAGGTCAAGAGCACGGGTTTCGGGCCGATTTGCAGCAAATGCATGGCGTTCCGGAAGCCCATCTTGGAGATGTTGTTGTTGTTGATGCTGATGAGGAGGTCGCCGATCTGCACCTTGTTGGGCTGCCGCAGAATCGCGCCTTCGGGCTTGACCTTGGTCACCTCGGGGTAAAAGCTCGACAAGGCTTGCTTGACGACGAGCCCGAGCGCGCCGTCCTCCTCCTTCCACGTAATGTTGTACAGCGAGTCGTCGCGCTTGGGGTTTAGGCTCATGGTCGACATGCGGCTGAACCGAAAGCTGCTCTCGCGCGTCGACGCCTCGCTCACCCGAGACGACTCGAGAAGGGCGTCGTCCAGGTCCGCGCGCATGAAGCGCAGCACGACGGGCCGTGGACCATCTTCAAGGAGCTTGATGACGCGCGCAAACTCGACCCGGTACGTCGAGATCTCGTTGATCGCCGTGAGGTAGTCGCCAAGCCGGACGTTGAACATGCCCGGAATCTGCGGGTTGCCCCGGCATTTCGAGACGCTCGGCATCTCCTTCTTCTTGTCGGGCTTGAAGCCGAGACCGAGGGGCACGTTGTCGCGCCAGAGGACCTCGTACTCGTCGCTCATGAGCGACGGCTCGCGGTGCGTCTCCGAGTTGGTCGTCCGCTGGAAGCGCAGCGCGACCGGCTTGTCAATGTCTTGGAGCAGCCGCAGGATGTGCCGAATGTCGTTGTTATGCACGCGCTTCCCGCTCACCGAGAGCAGAACGTCGCCAGGCGAAACATCGAAAATGTCGGCGCACGTGCTCAGCGTCTCGTGGACGCGGCGGACGACCGGGAGACCGGTCACCTCGTCGCTCTCAAAGTAGAGGCCCAGCATACCGCACTCCCAGTTGATCTCGTACTCGTTGTCCGACGTCGACTTGGACTCTTGCGTCGAGGCCGTCGACGACGACCGACCGCCCTTGGTGACGTCACGACCTTCGTCTTCTTCGTCCGACGAGCTAAACTCTTCAAACACGACCGGAGTCTGCACCAACGGTCGCCCGAGCGCCGGCAGAAGTGGGCCCATCTTGGCCGCGAACGCCGGGTCCGTCCCGAGAGGTATGAGCGCCGCGGCCTTGATCTCCATCTCGCGCGCCTTCTTCATACGGTTGGCTTCCTCGTCGGTCTTTTGCTTGAGCAAAGCGCGCTCGATGATGGCTTCGGCTTGGATCTGGCGCCGCATCTGCGCCGCCGAGACCCGTCCGCGGTGGCCGCGCCAGATCCGCTGCACGAGGCGCACGGCCTGCACGCGGCACTGGTGCACGGACCGCGCTCGGTACCCGCGCCAATGCGCCTGAATGCACACGCTGCCACGCGACTGGCGTTGGCGCCGCCGGGCTTGCTGCATCGCCCGGCGCCGACGCACGGCCCGCTGCAGCGTTGTAATGGCGGCCACTTGCTTGTGGTAGGTACTCCGAGCGAGGAAGCCGCGGGCGTAGCGCTGGAGGGAGAGCACGGCCGACGCCTGCACGTGGATCTTGCACCGGTTCAAGTCTTCGTACGCGCCTTGGAGCAAAAAGACTTTGGTCAAACCGACTTGGAAGGCGCCGGGCGTCGGCAGCAGCTTGGGCAAGAGGACGTCCAGCGACGTGGCGTTGGGCGAGAGGCACCGGTAGTGCTGCATGAAACTGGAGTGCAGCATGCGCACGGGGTACCCGGAGCGCGAGATCTTGACAGCTTCGAGGACGCCCGAGCACCGCAGCTGCTCAACGACCCGCACGTCGTCGAATGCAGTCGGGTCGAGCTCGTCGTTGGGCTTGATGCACCGAATAAAGTGCGGTACGGTCGCATGCAGGAGCTCCAAGAGCGTCGAGAGCTCCGACTTGAACTTGAGGACGACCGAGGACGCTGCGTTCGTCGCCCGGCGGGGCGGCGAGTCGGCTTTGAGCGACACGGCCGTCGACCGGCGACGCGACTCGTCACTGGCAAAGAGGTGCGTCACAAAGCCTTTGGACGAGGTGCCGAGGAGCTCGAGGGCCTCGACGTGAACGCTGTCCTTGTTCTTCTCGATGAACCCGGTCGCCGTGTACACGACGTCGCCGGCGTAGTGCGCGATCGTAAACTGCGTCTTGCCGCGCTGGAGCTTACTCGACGAGAGGTGCGCGTGCGACGCAAACACGTCATAGTACTTGGCGGCCAGCGCCGCGTCGTTGCCGCGCGGAATGACGCACTGCTCGTCCAGGAGCGAGAAGAGGCCGATGGGCCGCGCTTCAAACATGGTGACGCACGCGTCGTTGTTGGGGTACGCGACAAACGTCCACGGAATCGCCTCAGCCGCGTACTCCTTCTGCTCCATCTCGAAGACGTACTTGGCGAAGAGCTGCTGGAGCTTCTCGTTGGCAAAGTTGAT